GCAGCTATTGGTGCTTTGCAGGAGGCAGGTGAGGCCTATCTGGTTGGTCTTTTTGAAGAGACCAACCCTGTGTGCTATCCGTGCCAAATGTGTAACAATTATTGCGAAGACATCCAACCAACACGCTGCATATGTGGAGAACATACTGGAGAATTCATATGATGAGCCAGGAATGGTGGCGCAGCTTGGGAGGCTGAGGCAGAAGGATCGCAAGTTCAAAGCCAGCCTCAGCAAGGGTGAGGTGCTAAGCAACAGTGAGACCCTGTCTCTAAATAAAATACAAAATAGGTCTGGGGATGTGTCTCAGTGGTTGAGTGCCCCTGAGTTCAATTCCAGTACCAAAAAAAAAAAAAAAAAAAAGAGTTCACTATGGAGGGAAACATTTCATTCTCAAAAATTTTTTTCTCTTCTTCTTGTTATTGGTAGTTCTGAATGATAGATATTTTTTTCCCATGGGGTCAAAAGGTACTTAAGTATATGACTGTGAGTGGAAAAAGAGGGTACAGAAATCAGGTACTGGCCGTTTTTCCATTTTCATTTGTGCATGAAGTTTTACTATAAATTTTTAATATAAATTTTACTATAAAAATATTAGGCAAGTTAAAATGTCAGTGAACAACGTTTCAGCAGTTCAAGTTTATAACAATTATAAATAAAACTGTTAAATTTTTCTGGACAATGCTGGCATTTGAATCTTTTTCAACAAGTAAAATTCTGATTGGCGGCAACTAAATGGTGTTTGTAGCATTTTTATCATACAGTAGATCCCATCCACTCACTATACTTTTCTAATGGAGTTGTCCCACATACAAGTACATGGGTTTTTTATGACATTTTTTATTTTTAGTTGTAGTTGGACACAATACCTTTGTTTATTTTTATGTGGTGCTGAGGCTCAAACCCAGTGTCTCGTATGTGCTAGGCGAGTGCTCTACCTCTGAGCCACAACCCCAGTCCCAAGTATGTTTTTTTTTCCTATTTATTTATTTATTTAGCATTATGATTCTTAATACACCATTATATAATAATTTATCATATCTCTGATAAGGTATGTTGACCCAAGTACATTTTTAATGTTGTCTGTCTTCTATGCTGTTCCTGTTTTCTATTAAAATACATTAAACTAAAAATAAAAATTAAAAATAATAAAATGAAAATCAAAGGGAGATCAGTAGAGGAAAGAGACAAGAAGATGAGAGGTGGGGAATGAGGGAGGAAATGCTGAGAAGTGATACTGGCAAAATTATGTTGTTATATTGTATGCATGTATGAATATGTAACAACAAATCCCAACATTATGTACAACTCTAATACACTAATAAAAATGTGAAAAAAATAAACAAAATGTAAAAGAAAAAAAGAAAGAAAGATGGCTAACTAATTAACAGCTAAGATCTGAAAATCAACATGGTTACCATTGTACAATATATTATTCATATATAACATTTCATGGAATCTATGCTGCTGTTTATAAATATGCATTGCTATTTTATGTATCACTAAGAAAGAAAAACTGTCAGTCAACTTATTATTTCATATCACAATTTTAATTTTAAAATTTATTGAATGAAAAATTGGGGATTAAATGAAATGAAAATGACAGAGAGTTGAATAGTTGTATACAGGTGACAGGCACACAGGAGTTCATTATACAATCACTCTAATTATGTGTTCAAAGATTTCCCTTTAAACAGTTTTTTTTTTTTTTAAACTAGGGATTGAACCCAGGGGCGGTCTACCACTGAGCCACACCCCAAGCCCTTTTTCAGTTTTTATTTTGAGACAGGGTCTCACTAAATTGAAGAGGCTTTCCTTGAACTTGCAATCCTCCTGCCTCAGTCTCTGGAGTTGCTGGGATTAAGGAAGGTTCCACCAGGCCCAGCTCTATTTTAAAACATTTGAGC